CACACTAAAATCATTATTTCTAAATCTTTCAAACCACTTCTGCGCAGTCCTTACACTTGTTACAGTTTGATTATAAGCAGTATTTAATTTTTTGGCTGCATTTGTAGCATTCTCATCACTTAAAAATAAAAAGTATAAAACATGTCTCTTATATTCATCTGTTACTTCCATTTTAACAAAAATAAACAACTGAAATGTTCCCAATTCTGAACAGTATTATATGAATGAGATCCAATTTAACACTTCAGTGTAAAATGTATTACATTAGACTGGCATTTTTAACAGTAAAACAAGATTTTTCTCAAGGTCATAAAATACAGGAACTTATGGACTGACCTGATATATATGAAGTTGTATTTATTTAATATTAGTTGATGATATATATATAGAGTAAATTTTTTTTTATATGACAATTTGTTGTCATATTCAAAACATTTCTAGTATTACATTCAAAAATTCACAAAAATATTTTAAATATAAGATGTTATAAAATCAAAAATCTGAATGAATTGGCAGTAATTCGCATACATGATACACATGGAGTAATATAAAGAAATATTAGCAAAAATTGCCAATTTCATATAAATTTATTTTTCTATTATGTGAAGATGTATTTGAGTATATTATAATCTTCCATCATTCATAAATACATTATTATTGTTTGTCTTCATTTAATTTGTTTTAATTGTTAAATTTTGTGTGTTTATAGTTGTCTTATTAATGAGTACATAGTATTTATTCTAAACATTTATGGGATCAGTAACAATATTAATACAATCTGTATATTCTAAAAATAATTCATTTCTAGATTAAAACAAGTAGATATAATCTTTACATCTGACTTCGAGAAATTCATATGCACAGACAAATGAAAAACAATGAAATATTAAATCTTTATTCTTAACAGTTCCATTCTCAGTAAATTCACATAATTCAAATGCATTTTGCCTTATAATCAGGCTTCATCAGTGTCTGTGCATGTGAATTTCTCGAAGTTGGATGTAAAGAGTATATCTACTTGTTTTAGTCTAGAAATGAAATATTATTACAATATACAAATTGTATTATTATGAAACAACTGTTATGTAACTTTTAATAAGAAAATATTTATAATGCTAGAGATTTATATATTTTTCAGATATATGTTTTGATATTAATGGTTTTTTTTTTTTTTTTGCAAAATAAAGATCTGGTATATAATATTTATACAAGTTTATTTAAATAGGTTTAACAATTAATTTGATGTATATTTTCAAATGAAATTCATA